AGGGAAGGGAAGGGAAGGGAAGGGAAGGGAAGGGAAGGAAGGAAGGAAAGGTGTGCTGGGTTCTGGTGGCTCATGCCTACTCAAGAGGCTGAGATCTGAAGATTGCAGTTTGAAGCCAGCCTAGGCAGGAAAGTCTGTGAGACTTTTACCTCCAATGAACTACCAGAAACCTTGAAGTGGCACTGTGGCTCAAAGTAGTAAATGCTAGCTTGAGCAAAAAAGCTCAGGGACAGTGCCCGGGCCCTACCTAAATTGAAGCCCCATGGGAGGGGGGGGGGGAGGTCATCTAAAAGCAAAGGTAAACATTCAGCACCTGAGAGTTCAGTTCAGTAGTAGAGAGAGAGCTTACCTAACAAAAACCTTAGAGTTCGATCTTGAGAGCAGTATACAGTATTTTTTTAAAAATGTTTTAGAATCTAAGTGTCTAACATCTCTAAAGAGAAGAGCAGCAGCACTATCTCCAATTAACCACCAAAATACTGGAAACAGAGCTGTGGCTCAAATGGTAGAGTGCTAGCTTTGAGCACAAAAGTTCAAGGACAACTCCCAGGCGCTGAATGTAAGTCACAGGACTGGCATGTACGTGCGCTCACACGCGCGTGCACACACACACTTAAAATGGCATCTTCATTATGCAGTTTTCAAGAAAAATTCTGTATTTTCTCTTGTAGAGCCTGGATCGGCTTTAAAAAAAAAATTGTAGTAAGCCAGGCGCTGACGGATACGTCTATAATCCTAGTTACTCTGGAGACTGAGATCTGAGGATCACAATTCAAAGCCATAGGTATGTGTGAGACTTATCTCCAATTAATCACCAGAAAACCAGAAGTAGCACTGTGGTTCAAAGTGATAAGAGTGCTGACCTTGAGTGAAAAAGCTCAAGGACAGTGCCCAGCTGAGTTCAAGCCCCAAGACCAATAACAACAAAAAATTATAATAGCCAGACACTGTTGGCTCACACCTACAATCGTAGTGGAGGCTGAGATCTGAGGATTGTGATTCCAAGCCAGCCAGGGCAGAACAGTCCAAGAGACTCTTACCTTCAATTAACCAGCAAAAAACTGGACTGAAGCTATTTCAAGTGGTAGAGTGCTAGTAGCCTTGAGCACAAAAGCTAAGGCACAGCACCCAAAGCCGAGTTCAAGCCCCACGACAGGCATTAAAAATAATAGCACAAAATTATCTTCTATACAAGCATTAAATAACCCTTATCTTCAAATCTTATGATTATTCAGTCTTGTAAGTGTCCTAAAACTTATTATTAGTGGAAAAATCTGAAAGAAATTTCCTTTAATATTACTAAGAGGTAATCATTGGTTTTCTGATTGAGAAAAATTACAAAATGTCTTCTAAGAGGTAGATAAATAAAGGACTGTACCATAATACTTTCTATTAGATTCTTATACTATTGTGAAAGCTCATCTTTATTTTGCATTTTTCTATTTCTAATGATCTCTACTTAAGAGAATGTGGCGAATTAGACTAAGCACAAACCACACAAAAAGGCATGAGTCCCAAAGCAGTTACTGAAAATAGGTGATTCATGAGAATATAGGTCAAGTTGAAGATGAGAACCTATTAAAATACCTTCAAAAGAACATAGCTTAAGTGGAAATACATTAAGAAAGGGAAGATGAAGGAGAAGCCACAAGGGCTGGAACTGACTTTATGACCTAGTATCACTAAGTATTCAGAAAGAATTCTAAGTGAAAAGGCTTATTTTATACATGATAGTCCTAAACAATGACTAAAGACTTAGTCTTTACAAAAGGATCACTGACAATGACTTTCCAGTTAGTTTTCTTCTTTCCTTTTCTAAAATGTGTGGGTCCTGGGGCTGAAGTTCTGGAGCCCAAATGATGTCCCTGGAGTTTTTATGCTGAAGCCTAGAGCTCTAATATTTGAACCAAGCTCCACTTCTGCCTTTTTGGTGGTTAATTGGAGATAAGACTCTCACAAACTTTCCTGCATGAGCTG